AGTTTTATCCCTCAACATCCTGAATATGGCCTGGATAAAGTTGCCCAATAAAAAGGAATAGAGTGCTTTCCAGAAATAAATACTTCATCCATTGACATGGCACTTCTAGTTTGATCCTGAACTTAGTTCAGAAAGTCAGTTTTCCAGAGAATGTCTTTTCTCTTTTTCCCAGTGCCACTCTGATCATCATTCCCAGTTATACAAAACTAAGATTATCTGCATAAGTATATTGAAGGATGTTATTGGGCTTTGCCTTCTATTTGCCCTTAGCCTGTTATCTAGAAGCACTATCCAGAACACCTTCGGAAAATGTTCCACTCCAGTCTCAGTTAATGGAGTAGTAACCTCATTTCACTTATACCAACTGCACAAACGAACAAATTGCCCCATTATCTGAAACCATCAAGTCGGTTCCTACTCAGTAGTGACCCTGTAAAAGTTTTCAGAGCTATAAATCCTTGCAGGAGCATAAAGTCTCATCTTTCTCCCTTGGAGAGGTTGGTGGATTTGAACTGCTGACCTTGCAGTTATCAGCCCAACTCATAATCCACTATGCTGCCACAGCTCTGTTATTGTTGTTGTTAGGTGCCATTGAGTCGGTACCCACTTATAACAACCCTATGTACAACAAAACGAAACACTGCCCAGTCCTGGGCCAACCTCACTATTGTTGCCACGCTTGAGCCCATTGATGCTGCCACTTTGCCAATCCATCTTGCTGGGGATCTTCCTCTTTTTCTCTGACCCTCCACCTTACCAAGCATGATATCCTTCTCCAGCAACTATTCCCTCCTAACAATATGTCCGAAGTATGAGAGACAAAGTTTGGCCATCCTGGCCTCCAAGGAGCACTCTGGCTGCCCTTCTTCCAACATAGATCAATTGGTTCTTTTGGCAGCCCATGGCACTTTCTATATTCTCCTCCAACACCATAACTCAAATGCATCAATTCTTCTACGGTCTTCCTTATTCACTGCCCAGCTTTCGCATGCATATGAGCCACAGCTCTAGATCATCATAAAACACAATTGAAGAATTGGCTGCTCAAAATTTTACTCTACACCTACCATTTGTAGAGGCGGCACTGTATTAAAACTCAGCCAGAATGTTAGGATTAGATGACCAACTCTATTACTGTATAAGGGGTATGTAGCAAGAACTTTCCAGGCCCATGGGCCATCAGTCTTCAGGGAATCATCTACCCACTGCCATCGAGTTAATCCTGGCTCATAGTGACCCTATAGGACAGATTACAACTGAGCCTTAGAGTTTCTAAGACTATAAGTCTTTAGGGAAGCAGACAACCTCATCTTTCCCTCATAGAGTGCTGGTGAGTTTGAACTACCATCTTGTGGTTAGTAGCCCAGCACTTAACCCACTGTGCCACCAGGGCACCTTCAGGGAATCTTATTTCCCCTTTATTCCCCAGGAAGACCTTTGATGAAGAAGATATGAACTAATTAAAGGAACAGGTAGCAAATCTGAGAAAGGGTCAGAAATTGATGGCACAAGTACTAGAGGCTACCAATGAATTCTGAATTTAGACCAAAAAATAAAGTTGAGCCTACGTGATATCCCAAGGCACTATACTATTTATTTAGAAGAGAGTAGTAAGCAATACAAACATGATCTCTGGGCTAAAGGTGTCTTAACTTAGCACAGCAGAGATGCCCAACCCCAGCTGATTCAGTGTCCCCACCTAGTTCACCTGGGAATTCCACTTATAGCTGAGACAGGGCCTCAAAGATTCAGAAGACCATGTGGGACTGCCAATCTGTCAGTAGACTGTGGGTTCCCTGAAGGCAAGGATTGTAACTTAGGCCTCTTTGATTCTCACAGAGAAATCATTCAATGATTATTGAGTTTTAATTATTATTATCATATTCATAATAATTATTAATTATTATTCAAATGTTGGCAATCATTCACCACAAATTGAATGGTAATTTATTTTTGAGACCATGGATCCTGTAGCATAGCTCTTCACCTGAGAACAGACTTGTGCAAGATAGAAGTTAATAGGCAATACTGCTCCAACCAATGAAAGTGCTGGACTCTGAACAGCATGGCTTAAGGACCAAGAAAAAAAGTAATCTGTCAGTGTCTCCCAGGTCTCCCATAGTGAAACTCTTTGGAGAGTGTCATTACCTGGGTAGAGGAGGCCATTGTAAGGATACCAGAAAGCCCCCACCTTCCCTCTTTCTAATGCCCTCATAGTTCTACCTGATTTTTTTCTCATCTCCTATTACAGGACCTGTCAAAAGACCTATTCAATTTTAAAAGTAATAAAATATGATTGTTGTTAAGTGCTGTTGAGTTGGTTCTCATTCATAGCAACCCTGTATAGGGTTTCTGAGGAGTAGCTAGTAGATTTGAACTTCTGACCCTCTGGCATTAAGGTAGTGTAGGTTCAAAGTCCAGTGCTGATCCTTACCAGGATCCTGATCCAAACCAGAAGTCGGATAGTTAAAATAGACCTATAGCTAACTTTTGAAGCAAAAATATAATTTAAATGTTGAGATTGGAAATTGTTGATGTTGTTGTTGTTGTTGTTGTTGTTAAGTGCAGTTGAGTCGGTTCCAACTCATAACAACCCTGTATAGGGTTTCCACGGAGTGGTTGGAGAGTTTGAACCAAAGACCTTGTGGTTCAAACTGACCTTGGGGTCTAGTGCTTTATCCCACAGCGCCACACCAGGACTCTGCGATCTTACATAGGAGTTGTAAAAGGCAACAAGAGAAAAGGTAGTTAAGACAAATGTTTGAAAATTGCAAATAAAGAGTTTAAAATGTTTAAGGTGTTAAAAAAAAAAAAAGTTTAATTTTTTTAAATAATTAAGTGTTAGTTCAAGGTCCTTACTGCTGCTGCATGTCATCAAGTCGGTTCTGACTCATAGTGACCATGTATAGGGTTTCTGTGGCTGTTAGTGTTTACAGGAGCAGAAAGCCTCATTTTTCTCCTGCAGAGTAGTTGATGGATTGGAACTGCTGGCCTTGAGGCTAACAGCCCAACACATAATCTACTATGCTGCTAGGGTTCCTTAGGTGGCACAGATGATTTATGTGTGACTGCCAACCATCCAGTAGTACCACAGAAGAAAAGGTCTGGAGGTCTGCTTCTGTAAAGATCACAGTTCAGAAAATCACCTGGAGCAGCTCTACTCTGTAATAAAGTGTCTCCATAGGTCAGAATCGACTTGACAGCAACTCATAGCAACACAAGGGTTAGTTCACCTGGACTAAATAACCTGTGTTCTCTGAATTGCCTCTATGTTGGTCCTTATTCAGGATGAGGTCAATCCAGAAGCCCTTTCAGCATTTGCCCAAGGTTCAGAGGGGTAATGGGCCCCTTTAGTGGTTTTCTGGATGGATCCCAGGAAGAGAGACATGGCCCGAGCCCTCTGGCATTAAGGTAGCATAGGTATACTTCCCTCCGACCTTCATACTCCCTCTTTATGGAAGCCCTGGAAACACAGAACTCCTTATCTAGCAACACAGGAGCACAATTATTGGCCAGCCTGTAAGTGGAGGAAGATGTCCAAGGTCTTCCAAGGTTTGACCACCATGGTGAACATCACACACCAATGGAAGAGAGTTCCAGAGCTTTGACAAGCAATTCTGTGTGTATGTGTATATAAGTGTGTGTGTGTGTGTGTGTGTGTATTTCTATGTTTTATCTCAGTCTGCTGTCCAAATTCTAAAGACCCCCACACCCTCTAGGCAAGTGAACTGACCTAGCAGAAAGATCTGTAAATGACCAAAAGGCATCCCCTTTATTCCCTTTTCTCACCCTGTATCTCCTCTACCACCACTCCCCAAAAAAACAACAGCCTACCAATTTGCTATGGGGGTGGAGGGATTACTTTGTTGAGAAATCTGCTACTAAAGAAGCATTTTCAGTCTGCAAGAAAATGTCTAGTTGTGCACATTTCCATCCTTAAAAATACCCGTACACGTTTTCCTTGTGCTTTAAAAACAGAAACACAAGAGCAACCATCTGAAAGTGGAGGGTAAAAGCAAGTCATAACCTTCCAGACAGATTTGACAGCTCAGGTGGTCAGGATAAGTCAGAGACTGAGTTCTTTGGACTTGAGGCCAAAGACTAGGGACATCACCCTGGATACCACCTCAAGGAACTAGGGAAAGAGTTTACACTGAGGGACTCCACTGAGGTCAATTTCCTCAGATTTTACCCTGGAAATTAGCTCAGTAGACAAACCCATGAGAACATCTTGTTTGGGTGTTAATAACATTCTAAGTTGTGTGCATGGGTTTCAAGGTTTAAAAATTTTCCACACTCATATTCTGTCATGCCAATGGCCAAGGTTCTCTCCACCTTAAGAATAATAGCTAAGAAGGGTCAACTCCTACCTATGGCTAGCCCTTGAGTACTAGTCCCAGCAGTGAAGGTAATTTGAGATCCAACTCTTCAGATCTGCTTCAGACATAGCTAGCATTAGTCTTCCCTACACCTAAGGGACTCTTGTCCTTGAGCTCCTTTGCTTATATGTTGTTAAGTGCTGTCAAGTCAGTTCTGGCTCATAGCAACTCTGTATAGAGTTTCCTAAGGGCAGCTGGTGAGTTTGAACCACCGACCTTGTGGGTCAAACTGACCTTGAGGTCGAGTGCTTATCCTATGGCGCCACACCGTTTGAATGTCTGCTGGCACTGCCTAGGGTAAGCTAAAGTGCAAGCCCTCAAAGGTTCTCTTAGGACACATGGTTAGCAAAAGTTAAAATTAAGAATAAAACTTCCATCCACAAACTCCGGAAGACCTCTACTCATCTGTACTAGGTGTGGGTTACTTAATTTGTGACCAGAGATGATCCCAGGTAGGAGAATGCTTTATGGGCCCTTGCTAGACTTGGGGTCCAGCTGCTTATAGCTCACACTCATGGGGTTACCCCAGAAGCTGCCAGGCCTACGCTTTTGTATTTCTTTCACTTGTTTCCTTTTGCCCTCTCCTGCCACTGTGTTGCTCCTGTGTTAGGCAAGACCTAGAATACCGGGCATCTTCGTTGGAGACTCATTACAGCTTATCTCTATCTGCCTTTCTTTAAAGCCAGCTGAACATACCCAATGCTCTCCCTTTATGGTAAGACCAACCCTGCAGACCACGCTCCCAGCTTCTGTGACCCCATCTAACACTTCCCACTCTTACCCATCCCAACCCCAAGAGTCTTCTCGGAGCCCAACCTAGCTCCTATTGCATGTAACCACCATGTCTGTGATGTGCCTTACCAGCCTGGTCTTTTGTGAGCTGTGAAAATGCTGTATGTGTCATGGTGTGCTTTTACCTCCCTGAGCTTTCCTTTGGGTGATAATTCACTGTGATCCTGAGTGTCTAATGAGCTACTGGGAGAGAATTGGACCCAAGGGTCATTTCCTGTTAAGCACCCCCAGGGACTTTACTGGCTAACGTCTCTAACCTTAATCTGATGTGGGATATTTGTAAACAGCCCCTGTGTGCACCATGGGAAGGGTCTCCAGGGACAGGAGGCGGGACAGAGAAAATCTAGTCTAGAGACAGAAAGGCAGAGAGGCAACTTCTTGATAAGTGTCTGGAACTACTAGCCAGCCTCGTGATCTGAGTCTAAGCCCACAGTAGAAGACCGAAGTTGGGATTGGGTACAGAGTGGATGGTAGATGTTCCAGTCATTCCAACCCTGTTCTACTAAGTTTTTCTGAATTCCTAAAATGAATTAAATTAGGCTATACTCACTTCTCTGCGGTAGACTGTTGTTAAGTGCTGTCGAATCAATTCTGACTCATAGTGACCCAGTGTAGGGTTTCCGAGGAGTCTCTGGTGAGTTTGAACCACCAGTCTTGTAGTTCAAACCACCTTTTGGTCCAGTGCTTATCCAGAAGCAGAAAACGGGACTAAACATTTGGATGGGACTAGTCCTGATAGAAGACAATGATGTGCTTTGGCTAAAACGACTGAAATGCTACTCTGAGTGACTTTGGAGTCTCCTTGAAACAGCGTCCTCCAAAAAACTGCTGTCCCACACTTCAAAACTGGGTCACATGGGTGTTATTTAAAAAAAAAAAAAAAATTTAATGGAGGGACAACATTGAGTCAGTTGGTGATGTTCCCCAAAGCAGCCATCCCAGCCCTATTGACAGGCAGCCAAGGGAAAGACTAAACTCTGGAATATTCTATCACTCTTCACAGGACAGCCATTTGGACCTGCTTCTCCATTGCATTGTCATTCAGTTTATTAGCGGAAATCGTCGTAGCCAAATGGATATGTGTTTACTCTCCTTCTAGAGCAGCATTAAGAAAGTGTGCCGGCTGGGGAGGGCTCTTAGCACCAGAATGGAATCTGAGCTGCAAGCTTTATTGCTATTTTTGACTCATCAGCTCCAGATACTCCTGTGGCACCAACTTCTCAAAGTCTTGACACTTGGCAGCTGAAGTTCTCCTGCTTAAGCTTGTCCTTTCTTGTTTTTGTTGTTGTTTTGGGGGTTTTTTCTCCGTTTCCTAACATGGTAGAGCTGACAGCTGAATTATAAAATCCTGAGCCTCCTCTGCATACTCCTCTGGGGGAACACAGTCTCCTTTTAAGGAAAGAAAACAGAATTTCAAGCAGTACACAGGTGCTAGAAATACAGAGATTAAGGGCATCAAAGACTTCAAAATATACAGGCAGCGTGGGCCCAGGGGCAGGGCAACACTGGCAGCCTGCGGCTCCCTGACCTGCCCCTCCAGCAGCCCGTTTGGCAGGCCCCAAGTACTCAGAAGTCTGTCTTCTGCCTCGTGGACAGCTGGGGCTCCAGGAGTTGCTGCAGCATTTCTGGTTTTGAAATAGAAGAAATTTTTTGACTCTCCTGTCTAGACATTCTGAAGACTTCAAGAGATCCTTCCAGCCTGGTTTCTGTGCAGCCTCCCAGGTTGGAGGGTGGGCAGCTTATATTGGGACTGCTTCTGCATTTCCATGACCCTGTGGGCCACCCATTCTGAAGAGGAGTGCCATGAACAGCCTCTGGGGCCATCGGACCATATCAGTGGTACTTCAAGTAGGAGGACCTATGAGAGCCCATGGGGCTGTGGTGCCCAGAGCATCCTCCACATGGGTATTGTCAGGAAGGATTTGACCTGGAAATAATTAACATAGCAGGAGGAAGAATGAAGTGAGAGGAGACGGGAGGACTACACCAGGACCCCAGTGACACCTGGACTCCTTTAATTCCCTAGGGAGCCATGGGGCCAGTAACAGGAAACTCAAAGGTCCATTCTCTCCCGGTGCTGAGGAGAGACAGGCAGGCGGGGTGAGCTGCACTAGCTCTGAGGGAGGTGTGCTGCCCACCCTCTTGGGTGAGGTAGGAGGAGGGTCTCCATTCTGGAGACAGAAGATGACAGAGGCAGCCTGTCCTGCCCCCTGAGCCCAGGCCAGGGAAGTGCCCAAGCCCCCAGGCTCCCCTGGGTCCAACTAGCTGGGGGTGGGAGTGGGGTGGGGGAACCTTTGGCCAGCAGATTCCCAGCAGCCTGAGCATCAGATTCCTACCTGAGCTTTTCTCAGTCTCCTTTCCACTTCCTCTGCCCCTTTTCCTCTAGGGTTCCTCATATAGCAAGTCTGGGAGTTGTCTAGGACTTACTCCAACAGACTGCTCTCCCACTGCCTTCCCCCTGCCTCACATACCCACCCCATGGTCTTATGCAGCCTGGAGAGTGTTGGGGCTCCTAGAGGCCCCCAAGGCAGAGGAAGGCAAGGACCACAAAGCAGAAACTGCCCAGCACTAAGCAACACCTCCACCCTCCCAGCCACTTCCCCCTGAGGACAGTGTGGGGCAGGGACCCTGGGAAGTAAGGGAGTGAAAAGGGAAGCACACAAGGTCCCTGTTAGTGGATGCCTAACACAGACGCCCTGAGCTCCTGGCCCACCTGCATCCCAGGACTCCCACCCCTAAGCCTGTAGCAATGGAGAGCAACTACTCTCCCAACCGTCTAGAAGAAAGCCTGGTCCTAGTCCTCAGGAGCCCTAGCCAAGCCAGGCAGGGGTGGAGTTGGGGCTGCCCCCTGGGCATCAGGGACTGCTTGCACAGAGGATGGCTGGCTCTGAGCCTAGAAGATTTCAAAGCATATGCAAGTTACTTTGGAATCTTATGCTTTTCCACCCAGGGGGTTGAGAACTAGGAAAAAGGGGAAGAGGAGAGAACAGGAAGATAGGGTCACGGGCTTAGGGGCCTGGGCACAAATTGACTCTGCAGAGCCACAGGGCTGGGTTTTTTGTTTTTTTTTTAACCCAGATGTGATTGACAGTTGACCTCCCATGTGTGGGTCAGGGAAAAGAGTCTAGTGCAGCTAACCCTGCCCTAACCTGCCCTCTCTCCTCAACCAAGGGCTGTGTTTCTCAGAGCAGGGTTCACCTCATTCTTGCCCCACCCCCTCTCTGTTGCTGTGTTAACTACTACTTCCTATTGCCAATGGATTCCAGAACGCAGAGGAGAACTCCCGAATCTCCATCACCTTCTTCCGCCTCTTCCGGGTCATGCGCCTGGTCAAGCTGTTGAGCCGAGGCGAAGGTATCCGGACCTTGCTGTGGACTTTCATCAAGTCCTTCCAGGTAACCAATACCACCTCCCCTCCTTGTTAAGTGCTGTGGAGTTGGTTCTGACTCATAGCAACCCTGTATAGAGTTTCCAAGAAGCGACTGGTGAGCTTGAACCACTGACCTTGTGGCTCAAACCAGCCTTGCAGTCCAGCACATTAACCTTTAGCGCCACACCAGGACTCCTAAGGCCAGCCTAAAGTAGAAGAGTGTCCCTACATCCCGGGAAGTAGATATAAACATGGGACTCCGGCCCAGCTTTCACCTAGGACCCTCCTTTAAGAGCCTAGGATTCAGATGACCTGGGGTCTGGCCTTCCTCTGACCACTTGCAAGCTGTGAAATAACAACTCTGCCTCTCTACATCTTGCTTTCCTCATTTCTAAAATGAGAAGGTTGAACTAGGTCTGAGGTTTTTTCAAGCATGCTCATGGAGCCCCCCTAGACTTCCCCAGAGTCAGGGGAAGCAGAGGAAGCATATAGAAATGGTTCTGTCTCTTCTCTCATTGATGTATTTCACTCCCTGCAAGTCTTTACTAAACAAAGAGATTCTGTGGTATGGAATACATTTGGAAACCATGGAGAATTGCTTTCCCTGATCATCTCATGACCTCTATGGCCCTTCCAAATCTAGCATTTTTAACATCTGTCACCTGCCTCTGACTGGCATCTCAGTCATGTCTGCGGTCTGTTCCTGTTTATACACTTTCTCACACTCTTGGGAACCCTGGTGTCACTCCTCTGGAGGGGAGAGCATCTTTTTGTGGGGACACAAGGTTGTCTAACTACATAATTAATTCCCTTCTCAGCTATAGTTTGCCATCTGTAAAAACAAAATAATTATTGCCCCTGGCTAGCTCTGAGGAGTGTTATATAAGTCTGAAGTTTAAAAGCAGCAAAGCTCAGTTAGCACACTTGGATTCCTTGAAGATAAATGGTATAACTATAAAAGAAACCCAAACTCATTGCCTTCAATTCAGCTCCGACTCATGTCTGATCCTGTAGGACAGAGTAGAACTGCTCCACAGAGTTTCTAAGTCTGTAATCTATACAGAAGTAGACTGCCAGACCTTTCTTCCACAGAGCAGTTGGTAGGTTCAAAGCGTCTACCTTCTGGGTAGCAGCCAAGCTGTTTAATCACTGTCCCAACATGGCTGGAGAAGCCCTAAAATATGGTTGATGCAAATGGCAGAAGTCTTCTTCCATGGAAGTTCCATTCTCCTACTTCCTGAAACAAAGACACTCTCCAGCACTGGGGAATGCAGTCCGGGGGCCCCTGCTAGGGCCAGGCCAGGGATGGTCTCTGGTCCATGTGTGCCTCTGAGTTGTAGTTGTAGCTAGAGGTAAGGGGGGGCTTTGCCAGGCCTGGGTGCCTACCTGTTCTGGGTCCCATCTCAAAGGCACACCCCTCTGCACAATCACCTGCTCTGGGATTCATCATTGAAGGTCTTTCAACGTTCACAGAGCCAGCCACCAATGGCTCTGGGTTCTAATCTAGTATATGCTCTCCATACAATCAGTGTCAGAACAGGCCCAGCCAACTCCCAACCTATCGGTAAGCTGAAGTTCTGGCCTTCGATTTTGGTGAAGGTCTGGATTCCATGCTTTTGGCTTCTCACTGCTCTGAGCTCTCCCGCGAGTTTTCTTCCCTCCAGCTTAGATAAGAAAGGACAATGATGTATTATTTCCACACCGCCAGCCCTCCATAACCTTCCCCCCAGGAGTCCCTTCTAAGGAGTTCTGCTCTTTGTGCAAGTGGTAGGTGCTGCAAGCAGATGGAAGATGTCCCCCACACCCTCAAGGAACTTACAATTTAAATAAATGATCAGGATACACACACACACTCCCCAAACCATATATGAATAGTCCCTTTCCAAGAATCTGTGTAACCAAAAATTTAAAGCATGATATGGTTGTATCAAAAGAAATAAATACCAACCTAATTTTAGAAGAAAGAGGAAGACAGACTGTATTAGCCACACACCTGCAGGCCTCATCCAAGTTACATGTTCTCTCCAACATACACACACGGTATTGCCCTCTGAACCTAGCAGCCCCCTTCCTCAGCATGATGTGGGTATGGAGGTGTGGTATGAGAGCACCTTCTTCACCCACCTCATCCCTCTTCCAGTCACCAGCCCTCACACCGACTGGCCAGGGTTTGGGAATCTTGGAGGAAGAGAAGGCATAGGAGTTATGTGGGAGACAACAGTACCTCCCTGAGGAGCAGCCTGCCTTTCCTTCCCTAGTGTTTGCGGTTGGGGTAGTGCCTCCAGATCCCCCTTTCATGCTTGTAGTGTGAAATACCATGGACTCCACAAATCCACGGTGCACCATTCCCACCCTACCCATGTTCATTCCACCAGTTAAAAGACTTCTCACCCCTCCATTAGGGACCTCCTGCCTTTGTCTGGCTCAGCCCCAAGGGCTCTCTGGGGAACCTGAAACCATGGGCACTGGTGGGAGCAGGACTCTAAAGGAAAACACGGGCCCCCACCATGCCCATCAATAGGGTGGGGGGAAGGAACGCACTTGAATTGCATTCCAACCTGACTGAAACGCTTTCTCTGTGATCTAGCAATGCCATCTAGTGGTGGTGGTGGTGGGAGGTTAGCAAAGCATTTTCTTGGGGGTTTCCAAGACTCCCTCATTCCATGGAACAGTATTGTTGTTGTTGTTAACTACCATCAAGTTGGTTCTGACGTATAGTGACCCTGTATGGGGTTTCTGAGGAGCAGCTGGTAAGTTTGAACTGCTGACCTTGTGGTTGAAACTGATCTTTGTGATGCAGTGCTTATCCTACAGCGCCACACCAGGACTCCCCCCAATGCCTCTCTCCAGAAGTACCAGAGGCACTGGAAAACTAAGTTGTTTAAGCTGTCTGACAACTAACACATTGAGCTTATAGAATGTATGGAAGGTACTG